AGCGGGTATTGCTTCGAGTGTCGCCTATGAAGGGCGTGATGAGATTTGGGAAGAAGGGCAAGCTTAGCCCTAGGTTCATTGGCACGTTTGAGATTCTTGATCGAGTGGGAGAGGTGGCTTATAGACTTGAGTTGTCGCCGAGCTTATCAGCCCTGCATCCAGTGTTTCATGTGTCCATGCTTCGGAAATATCACGGCGATCCATCCCACGTGTTAGATTTCAGCACTGTCCAGTTGGACAAGGATTTGTCTTATGTGGAGAAGCGGGTAGATATTCAAGACCGGCAGGTTCGTCAGTTGAGATCGAAGAGTTTTTCTTCTGTTCGTGTTCAGTGGAGAGGTCAGCCTCCTGAGGCATCAACCTGGGAGTCCGAGTCTGATATGCGAAGCCGTTATCCCCATCTTCTCCCAACTCAGGTACTTCTTTCTTCTGTCTGTTCGAGTATGAACGGTTGTTTTAGAGGTGGAGAATGTTTGGGTCATCACTTGTTTTAAAATGAAATTCAAAGTTTCAAGGCCTTAAAAACCTCTCTTAGCATCACCTCGATTTGCATGTGCAGTCCGGGCGAGTAGCCGGAAAGTCCAAATGTGAAAATCTGTGAAAATGATAAATTTTGACTATAAAATGAATTAATTTAACTTCGGTCAACGTTTTGGGTAAACGGACCCGGACCCGTAATTTGACGATCTGGAGGGTCCGTAGGAAAATATGGGACTTGGGCGTATGCACGGAATCAAATTCCGAGGTCCCAAGCCCGAGAAATAAATTTTTGAAGAAAATTATTTTCTGAAATTGTTTATAAGGTTTGGAAATGAATTTTGAGGAGAACATATTGGTATCAGGCCCGTAGTTTGGTTCCGGCGCCCGGTACAGGTCTTATATATGATTTAAGATAATTCTGTGAAGTTTGGTAAGAAACGGAATCCGTTTGATGTGATTCGGACCTTAAATACAAAATTTGATGTTTAAAGAAGTTTTGGGAAATTTCATTGATCTTGAGGTTTAATTCGATGTTCATGATGTTATTTTGGTGATTTTATTACACAAATAAGTCCGTAGGATGTTTTTGAGGTTGTGTGTATATTTGGTTTAGAGCCCTGAGGGCTCGAGTGAGTTTTGGATAGGCCAGGGGGTGGATTTTTAGACTTAGAAAGTTTCAGATTTTAGCTGGTGTGCCCAGGCCTACAGGCTTCGCACTCGAAAATTCGAGCTCGCAAATGCGAAGGCTGGATCGCAAAAGATCGAAATTCCCCTGTTCAGCCTTGGGTCGCAAATGCGACTCTTTCTTCGCAATTCCCAGCTCGCAAATGCGAGCCTCCCTTTGCATTTCCCAACCCAGCAGAGGTCGAGGTTCGCAATTGCAAATCCCTGTTCGCAATTCCCATATCTGAGGCCTGCAACTTTTATACTTAGACGATTTTAAACTCATTTTTCACATCTTTTCAAAACACAAACTCCTTTGGGCGATTTTCCAAGAACAACTCTTCTTCCAAATCGATTGTAAGTTAATTTTAACTCATTTCCTTCAATCATTAACATCTTTTAACATGATTTCAACTCAAAATCAATGATTTTTATGGGGAAAATTGGGTGTTTTGGGTAGAACCTAGGTTTTTCAAAAATTGGGGATTTGGACCTCGATTTGAGGTCCAATTTCAAAACAAATTAAATATTTGAGTTCGTGGAAGAATGGGTAATCGGGTTTTGATTCGAACCTCGGGTTTTGACCATGTGGGTCCGGGGGCGATTTTTGACTTTTTGGGCAAAACTTTGGAAAACTCATTTTTATGCATTCGAATTGATTCATTTGGCGTGTATTGATGTAATTAAGTAACTTGTGACTAGATACGAGCGAATTGGTGGTGGAATCAAGAGGTAAACTATAATTGAATAGTGAATTGTGTTCGTGGCATCGAGGTAAGTGTTTGGTCTAACCTTAGCTAGAGGGATTAGGAGTTGAGTCCTATTTGCTATGTGGTAATTGTTGAGTACGACGTATAGGCATGGTGACGAGTATCTATACGTTGGTGTCTAGCATGCCCGTGAGTCTTTATATTGTGATTATCATGACTTCGGTGTATCTTTCATGCCTTAGTGGTAGCTTTTATTTGTTGTACAAATATTGTGGAAGGAATTGTGACCTATGAACATTGAGGAGCGTTGGCTCAAGTTGCATAACGAATTGTGAAACTGCAAGCGATAGTTGAACCTCTGGAGCACTGGCTCGAGTTGTAAAGTGAATCGTGAAGTAAAAGTGAGAAGGAGAAGAGATTATTATGTTGTCACCCTTGCCGGGCTTTTGTTGACTTTTTTGTTATCGCCCTTGCTGGGATGTTGATGTTATTGATGTTGTTCCCTTGCCAGGATTTAATTGTTGACTTGTTTCTCCCTTGCCGGGATTCTTATTGCAAATTTTCTTTATTCCCTTGCCCTATTGTTTGTGATTGTTGTTTGGGTGAGGAAGAGAGTTAAAGCACCAAGGTTGATACCGTGCATTGTTTGTTTTGTGAGGAAAGAGTGTAAAGCACGAAGGGTGATGTCGTGCCGCACGATGTACCATTCCATGTCAATTTTATTGATTATATGGTGAGGAAAGAGAGTAAAAGCACGAAGGGTGATGCCGTGCACATTTTATTATATAATTGCTTTGGTGAGGACGAGGGTAAAAGCACGAAGGGTGATGCCGTGCATTTATTGATTTCTGATTCCTTGTTGATATCCGATTTATGTTATTTCATTCGTTTAATTGATGTCTTTCTATTCGGAATTGTTATTTCCCCCCATAGTATGCTCCCCCTCCCATACTTGACTGGTTATTTCTGTATTTCTTTTCCGCTGTATGTATATATATATA